ACAGAACAAACAATAGTAATATAAACAATTCCAAATTAAGAGATCAACTACTGACACTTCTTTGCTCAATGCTCATATACAATTACAAGTGTAACTACTGTAAGGTCACATGCATTGACAAAACTAAATGATACTTGAAAACTAGTCGACGAGTACTTAAGAGTATCAAGTAAACGTGGTCTTTACCTGGTAAAACCCTGTCACTCAGCAGTGCAATTAGATTATGGGTCATAACATATCAATTAACAGCTTCACTATTGTTACAACCTTGAAATTTTCATTAAAGAAATCCTCTAATTGCAATCCAATCTAAATAATCAACAACATTCTTTCAACTAAAACTGTATTAATTCATATATTGACAAAAACCATCAATCTGAAATTCATGTATCCAAAATTGTGACTGATGTATTAGTATTTACTTTTCAGTTTGTATTTTATGTATAAATGTGTTTACCCTATTGTTTACTAATGTTAATGTTTTTATAAATTCTGTAGTTCACTTCATGGTTCATATTCTGCTGCTCACTCCTTCTCTACCACTATAATTAAGACTTTACCTTATTTGTATTTATATATCAATGTACAAAACACTACAATCCAAGGGCTTTCAAATGTTGGACCTTTCTTCACCAGGGACAAAGTGATTCCTAATTTGCCTCTGATGAAGAAAGGTCTACCTTGTTTCCAGACTTTACTGATGATGCAATAAGTATATTCCAAAATGTTCATTGAATCATGTAACTAAAATGTTTTTCATCCTCTCAAAAGTGTTTATTTTCATTGGTAGACTTTTGTTTTCCCCCTCATAAACCTATTACAAGTACAAAAAATTTTCTAGGTTATGCAAGTGTTCATTATTTAATGTTAATTTTCAGGTAAAGATAACATCTTTTGTTTCTAATTGTTAAATTGATTTTTCTGGTTTATAGTTATCAAATGAATAGATATTTGTTATTACATTTCCCTATTGAATATAACAATTCTATTGTAATAGAAAGCTACATCTCTACATTCACTACCTACTATTAGCCATACACCATGCAATAAAGTGCATGTTCAAGTAATGGGAACAGTGGAGAATACTGGTAAATAATAAACCACAATGCATATGAAAGTACTCAAAAACTAGTAAATTAAATTAAGCTAGGAGAGTTTAATTGCATTTTATTTTTGTCTGAATCCCCTTGGTAAAAAAAAAAAAAAAGGTTTACCAAGGTTTTAACATAATTTTATTTTTGTCATCAATATTTTTACATTCTGATAATAACTCAGGAGAGGAAGAATGCCATGCCATTATATATTGTACAGTGAAATATGCAGCCTGTGGACCAATACATTAAATTTTATGAAACATTTCTTGAGAGTCAATGTCTAAAAAAAAGCTGAAAGTGATGACAGTGATCTATCCTTTCTTGGGTATTCCATGCCGAGTCCTTAGGATAAATTTAAACTACTAAGACATTTTCTTACTCATAAAGGTTCCTTGTGTACAGATGGTTTAAAATTTAATTTTCTCAGTATTTTTTATCTGTATATTACAGTCCATGAAGGACACAAACTTTACTCAACATACTCAAGTTTTAAATATACTAGTTGAGGGAACCCAAATATTTTGAAAAAACTCAGATTCTTTTAGGTAACTGAAAATAAGCCTTTTGTTTCTTTTACAAACTAAGGAAACTATGAAGAAAAAGGAAAACATCTCAATTTAAGATTTCTTTTCAGTTACCCGAGAGAAGCCGAGTTATTTTTAGAAACTGTCAACTTTTGTTTTCCTTTTCATTAGTATTTTCTAGCAAGATTCAAGCTTTTAGACTGGTTGATAGTCCGGAATTCTTTGTAAATTACTGTTGAATTTATGGTATATTAAATTCCTGCTAAGACCAAATTGACCAACCTCATACAGAATTAGGGTAGAGAAAATAACAGATAAAATATAAAGTTTTACTGAAAACATACATTTGAATTGTATTTAGGAGGTTTTAGAGAGTACACAATTAAATCTGAGATTTTGAGTTTTTTAGTTTACAGAGACTGTCTCTTTTAAAAGAACATTATCAGTTTCTATAAAATAGAGCCCATTTGATTAGTATAATTAAAAAATTTAACACACAAGTTACTTTCACAATCACAATAATCTTTAGTAGATCTTTTATATATGTAATCAATGTTATGGCAGTTAGTGAAAAAAGTTATAATTGTTTTGAAACTTTACCTATTTCCCTTGTAAAAAAAACTAATGTATATTGTAAATAAAATCAAGACCTATATCTCCAGAATGTATCTTTATTAGCTCAATATTTTGTTTTTTACAGGTTTGTAACGAGCTATCAATATCCTAAAAGTTCACCAATCCAGTTGAATTTCAATTCGAACATCATCATCAGTAAATCAAACATTGATAAAAGCGTTTAGAAAGTTCAGAATATATTAAAATATCAAACATTCTAGAATTTGAATTGTTAAAACAAACCAAACCAACAATGCTAAATACATAATGTGTGTAAACCAACAAGTAAACTGTTAAAATCATATAATTTAGAATAGGATACATTACGTATATAAAATACCTCTTCATATTTGTACGTATAAGCATTATTTCTTCTTATTATAGCAATACATACACAAAATAATGTCGGCAAACATGTTTCAATCATTACGAGTTTGTATAGAGACTTCATCAAAGTTCAAGATATTAAAATCTTAAAGAATGCTCTTAATGTCTCTACAGTAAAGGTCAACCTTAATATTTATAATGCTGAGCATTATGGAAAAGAACATGGGATACTGCAAGCTAAAAACATCTTATCGAATGTCAAGACCTTATTTAAATGTCAAAGTTTTTTGGAATGAAAGATGTAAGAAGCCATTTTAATAAAAAAAAAAAGAGACCTAAAATGATCAAATATAAAGGTTGGCCTTTAGTGTAAAAATGTTAGGAGCATCATTAAGGTTTTAGTATCTTGAACTTTGACGACATCTCTATACACACTCATAATGGTTGAAATATATTTTCAGACATTGTTTTGTGTATGTATTGCTATAATAAGGTGAAATAATACTTATAGATACAAGTATAAAGAGGTATACACATAATGAATCCTATTCTAAATCGTATGATTTTAACAGATTACCTGTTCATTTACACATATGCATTTAGCATTGTTGGTTTGGTTTGTTTCAACAATTAAAATTCAAGAATGCTTGATATTATTTTAATATAATATAATCATGTGTTTCAATGTTCAATTACTGATGACAGTGTTCCAATTTAGTGATTAGTGAACTTGTAGGATATCAATAGCCTCTGACAAAGTTGTAAAAGCAAAATATTGAGCTAATAAAGATACATTCTGGAGATATAAATCCTTATTTTATTTACATTTATAGAAACATTTCATAATAAACTACAGTTTGCATTAAAAAAAGATACAGAGCAATGTATAATGTACTTACCTGTAGAAGAGCTGTAATTGCAGCAGTCACTCTAACTTTATTCTCAATATCAGGACCACTCAGTTTATTGCTGAAATAAAATTGATTAAGCTTTAAGTTTTTAATTATCAGTGACAAAGGACTGAAAGTTTGAAGTGGAGAGCCAACAATATACTTAAAATGCAATAAATGTTGATTTTTCACATTTGAAAAAAAAAAATTATAAGTTAGGTCATTTAAAAAACAATTACAAGCAAAATCACACAAAGAATTATTTGAAATAAACTAAAGAAAACTTTGTAATTACAGGTAAATAAATGCACAAGGAAGAAAAAAAACTGATTTTTTCAACAAACTAAATCAAGTCGAGTTACTAAAACTCAATTCAGCATCTTGAAGCAATCTATCACGAAACAGCATTTCCTATTTTGGTGGCTTTTGCTGATCATTCCATGTTTATTGCTAATAAAAATCCTAGATACATTTACAACCTTACCAATTGTAGAGATATTAAATACAGATGCACATAGAAGCAATACCTAAGATTATAAGAAAAAAAAAAGAGAGTGTATTTAATCACTTACATTGTTTGAGATGTTATATTTTTAATATTGATGAAACTATATTAATAATAATTCAAAAAAGAATAAAAAAAGAATTTGGTGATATCAAACTAAAAAAACAAAAAAGTGAGAGAGAGAGAGAGAGAGAGACTTAGGAACATTAATTTTGAATACCCTTCATGAAAAATCTCAAGTTTCAACAGGAAGACGAAACAAGACCCCCACATATCTACTAAAATATAAAGAATCACGAGAACTCTAATATTGAGAGTTAAACAGATCCATGACAAACAATTGCAATAGCAAGTTCATCCAAGGACTAGTAAAAGGTTAGCTTAGAAAAAGGTTTTAAACTGCAATGACTGTTTAACAGTGCTTACACTCCCATGGACCCATTTCAGTGACATGCCCTCCTGGAGTGAGGTAGAGAGATTTGTAAAAGTTATTATGTGTTGAGGTATATCCCACTTGAATATGTATGATGGAAAAGATCACTGACATATGAAATTAGAAATTGCAGGATAGTGCACGTGCACTTTTGTTTGATTAACAATGCGGTATCAATATGATGTTGATTCTTCTCTTCATCCCAGGTAGATGTTTTGCTCTCCTGCCTTAGCAACTAGGAGTTGTACATAACAGCCTAGAAGCTGGCCATTTAAGCTATGACTTACATTGTTTGAATAAAGATTCTGGGTATTAGTTCATTTGTCTTTGCTGCTCATGTTTAAAATTATTCTTTGGATAACATTTCCAGAACTCGTTATATTACAGATGTTTATAACTTTCTAGCAGAAATCAGTGAATTTGAATACCACATACTAAGTTATTACGTTACATTTTGGTCTTGTGACAAGAGGATTTTTAATTTTGAAGTATATTTTGAATGTTCTTCTTTCATGCATTTGACTCCATGGTTACTGTAAAGTTTGTAAACCATTACAGTGAAAGATCACTTTCTAAAACCATATAGAACTTACTGTGGTGATAAGGATCAAGAGCTACATCTGTTACTGGTCTATTCTCAGGGCCAAGAGATTGATATGCAACAAGGGGAAACCACTGTATCACCTCTGCTGGTATTTCTTGCATAGTTATAGAGCTAACAATCAATCCAGACATCCCAAGAGTCACTGTATGGTTCCTACAGGACGTTTAGGCATTTGTTAACCACTGTAACCCAGATAATCATTTGAGTCAGCAATGACCAAGGACAGTGGTAAGATCTCTGTTTGGATGAAGTTTGCTACATTAGTTGGTTCCAGGATCACTTTTACATGCTAGCAAGTTTCAAAGCAATGGCCATTACAGATGATGTGTATATCTGAATTACTATAAAATGACTAGCTTTCTGTAATTTTCAAGCGATCAACATTTCATAATTTTTTTCATTAGTAGAATACATCTTTAAGTAAAAAGTAAACACCCATTTACACATAGTTTTCCCTTCTTTCTGTAAGCATAATGGCAGTATTTATCTTATTAATAAGAAATGTAAATCATTAAAAACTTGCACAATCTTTTTAGATAAAAAAACAACACCAATACATCCACTCTTTGGTATAATTTGGAACTAAAATATTTGATAATGTTCAATTCAGGCGATTTTTCTGTCGTTGTGTTGGCTTAGCTTGTTAAGTAGATGAGTGTAATCTAATTTAACAATGGCATTCCGAAGATTGGTTGTATCGACGTTAAACTTTTCAGTAAGTTGTCTCTTCTGACGGTGTTTCAGTCGAAGTTCTTGATCCAACAATTTCTTTTGACAAGTCCTGTAAGTTGAAGAATTTTGTAGATTTTGATTGGATAATTCAAAATGGAGGAACTTAGGAATGACGTGTCAGAGCTTGCATTCAGTAAGGAAGCAAATATTGAGATTAACTTTCTTAATTTCAAGGTCCCATTTCTCACAGGCACGGTATACACGCAGAGTATCATTTCTATATCGTCGAATCAGAACATTAGCAATCGATGCGTTTGAAGGAAAACGAAGTTTGATGGGTAAAAAGAAAAATAATAATATTCCTTCACAGCTCAAGTAAATCATTCTTTGTACGTGTATGTAAAAAGTATTTTGAAGTCATGATTGACACTGAAAAATGCATATAATATTTTAACTAGTTGTTATTTGTAAAACCTAGTGAAAATGCATATCAAAATATAGATGAAATCATCTCTTGTTACAAGCAAGTTAGCGGTTTTGTGCCTTAATAATGAAATTAAAACATTTAAGTAAAGAACCTACGAAAGTTAACATTTTCTAACACTGAAAATATATTTCCAATAGCAAATTAACATCATCTCACCCAAAGCTGTCTTGACCTTGATTTGCCCTATAATCATTGCTAAAATTTTTAATAGCACACCAGTCTTTTATACCCCTTCATGTTTAAGCCATTGCAGCAACATGTGCTGATCATGTGACTACCTTCCAGCAATCATACTGCACCATTTTTACTAGCACAGGTAGCTTCCTGTACCATGCAGCACAAGAATTGGCAGATACAAACCAGAAACACCAGTCAATCAGTGAGGAGGAAGGGTGGTAAGTACCTATCAGAAATACATTTTCAGTGTTAGAAATGTTAACATCCAAAATGGTACTAACTCCACCTCAAAGCTAGAATTCCACATTGCAAAGGTAGAGAGGCCGGTGAAGGTGCAAACGTAATCAAACAATTAGAGAATAACCACTATGAAAGAACAGATGTGCCATAATTATAAAAGGAGGCACACTTGTGGGGTATAGCACTACTTGTGAAACAGGTATGGTCTTCACCCATTAACAAACAAAGTAAGATACATAAGGCAGAACTCAATACACAGGCACCATGTCATGTAATACAGATTCTGCCCATGGATAACAGAAAGTATGTAAGATGTCCACATATGTAACAAGCGTGAGCACATGACACAATCATAGTTAGATTTAAAGGTTCTGTAATCAGATACAAGTATATATGGCTAGTGCTAAAGGACCATAAAATTTTTTTGAATAGGTCCATTGCGGTCTGCCATGGCAAAAAACATCCAGGGGAAATGCCTTGGGATACGTAGGATTATGCCAAGTGTGGTCCATCCAGTCAAAAACAACATTGGAAGTGCCTTGCATAAAATTGTAAGATCAACAAAAAAACAACCAGGGAAAGTGCATTGGGTTTATATTAGGAATTTTTAACTTCATATTTTGTACGTAACAGATTGTATGATCAACAAGTGTGGTCAGCCCTGACAAAAATATTTGGGAGAAATGCCTTATGATATTATAGAGTAAGTCAAATGCGATCCGTCTGGGCAGAAAACATTCAGTGAAAGCTCCTTGTATTAAAAAATAATATTTTGTGAACACCAAGTGTAGTCAGCCTAGGCAAAAACATCGGGGAGAAGTGCCTTACGTTTTACTGACTATAGCAAGTGCAGTCCATTCAGGCAGAAAACATCCAGTGGAAACACTTTGCATAAAATGTTTATTTCCTGACCAACAAGTGCAGTCTACCTGGGCATAAAACATCCGGGAGAAGTGCCTCGGATTGAGCATATTATGATATTGTAAAATAATAAATATAACAATGACAGCCCTCTTCTGACAGAGTGGGTACACATGACTATGAATTTTGTTTTACCGTACAAATCCCACTCCAGAGGAAACCTCCACAGTCCACCAGAAGTGGCAAGTACTCCGTGCTCCACTAGAAAAAAAAGGGAGGAATACGTATTGGGGAGCTCAGAGGAATGACACACTGGAGACAGTGCAATAGGTGTCTACAATTCCCTATTTTGAAAAGCAGAACGATCCCGATTGTAAGAATCATGGGTCAGTAGGGGTTGGCAAAAATCCCCATCTGCAGTAGTCATGGAGTCCATGAGTGACGGTCCTATATATATGATACAGTGATGAATAAAAAAAAAAAAGATACAATTGTTAGAAGCTCAGTCAACAAAGCAAGGGTGTTCAATTGTGTGAAACAGAAAATGTGAAAAGCTTTTGTGCATGTTATATTAATTGTTTATAGCTGGTTAAATCAGCACTATGAAACAATAATGAATGAAATATCTCATTAGCATTATCGGTCAAAGTTGTCAACTTATTGTCATAATGGATAATGTCTGTGGTAATAGCACCCAAACATGTACTGAGGAAAATGCTTCCCAAAAAACTGGTGGGTTTTCCAAAGCAGATTTTGTCTGAGCTAGAATATAGATTTCATATTGATATTAATTTTATAATCAAAATATATCATTTCATTTAGGCAGATATTTTACAAAAAACATGATAGATCTTGAGCATAGAACACTTATCTGTTCCTCAAGAGGTGGAAAAACAAGGAAGCAGAGGATATTCAGTGCCCTTGTGCACCTCACTTTAAGCTGCTTTGAATGCCGAATAAAAGTCAGCTTACTGTCAAAGAGAAGTCCTAGGAACTTTGTTTCAGCCACCATTGATATCTATACACCCCCCAAAAAAGTGAGATCATGGTAAATTCCCTACTGGTGGCAGAAATGCATACAAATGACTTCAGAAGATAAATATTTGAAACCACTAGCTGTGATCCACTCATAAAACTTGTTGAGGGCAGTTAAAAGTTTTCTTACCTGAAAATGTATTTCAGATAGATACCTCTCAGCACCACTAAGAAATATTACCTCTTGCACAACTGCCATGGCAAGTTCCTGCATATGCCACAAGCAGGTTCTATATAACTGTTATTGCATAGAAATCTCAGTGCAAAAATAACAATGGACTTCCCAAAAATTGATGTTTAATATAAACAAAATAAAGTTAGTCTATAACGTAGATTTTATGGTAACTATAAATCCATAGTTATTTTTAAGAAACTATAGAATATTAATTATTATACTATACTTTCTCTCATATACATTTCCAAGGATATATTAAAGTAATTTCAAGTACCTATTAAACGTGATAACAAAGAGTCTACCAAATGTTACTCACTTAACATACTCCATTACTTTTTCTCTGTAAACTTCTCGTGCTTTATCATGATCCATGCACCAATACACCCTATCCATAATGACAGAAATGTTTGCTTGAGTGGTATCTGTGATATCCATGCTACTCTCATACTTTATTTCTTTCAGCTCACTGGCTATTTCCATGAGTGCCCAAATCCCTGAAACCATTATACAACAGCAAATATTTTATGTTCATTCTACAAGATGATTCAAAAACATCATCAAAAAACATAAAAGGTGCAAGCTCTCTAAACTTGCTTTTTAGTATATTTCTTAACTCTCTCAACATGGGCTCAGTCATTTTGACTGACCATGTGACCTCTTTGTACTCGATTAAAGTCTTTAAAGACTAAATACTTCTAACTTCACAATATAGTATGTATATCTTTACGAAATTTGGCAGCCTTTCAGTTCATATTATAAGTCTTTCACATATAAAAAAAGTCATATTTATAGTGAAGTATTTTTAATAAAATAAAATAAAGATTTATCCTTTAATATATTGAGTATTTGTTTTGAATAGTCCGTGTTGCAAAGTAATTTTCATGTTAAAACTAAAAATACTTTTCCTCATCTCAAAAATTTCAAATTCCCTTTATGTAATTCCTAAAACCTCCTAAATTCATTTCAATCATATTTTCTCATTAAAACTTTATAGTTTATCTGTTATTCTTTCCACCCTATCTCAAAATGGGATTGGTCAATTCGAGTCACCTCGTAACAACGGAAAAAAATTGAAATAAACCTAAATTACCCTTTTTTTTTCGTTCTAGAATGACTTCAAATTGTAACATGAAACTACATT